CTTTTCACAGGCCAGCTACCTGCCCTGTGGACGGGAGCTGGCTTTGATATCTGAGCCCTCGACCCTTCTGTGAACAGGGCTTTGGGGACAGCAGTGTCTTATTTAATGTGAGGACGGGAGGAAGCAGGCAGCGCCCTAAGACTGCAGAATCATGGACAGGAGCACTCGTGGGACTGTGGGACTAACTCTCCAGCCTCTGCGTGTCACACTGTGGGGAGCGGGGGATCTGCTGGAAGTCACAGCCAGAAAGAGTCAGAGCCCCAAGCTCACATGCTTGTCTTCCTCCCTTGTGACGGCTGGGGGAGAAGGAACATCATGCAGATGGGCCTCGAGGTGGAAAAGAGCGTGGGGTCTCAAGACATCAGGTAGAACCGGCATCCAGCAGAGTGGTTGGGGGAGGCCGTGGCACCAGATGAGGTTAGAGAGGTGGGCAGGAGCCAGACAGAAGACCAGACTGGACTTGGATGGGTGTGCATGTTCACCCCCAGTGCGGTGGGAAGCCCGCAGGGCCTGGACAAGGGAGTCACATTGACACTGTGCACTAAGAAGGCTGCAATGGACCGTAAAGACATGTAGGTGAAGTCCTTTCACTTTTGTCACGTGTTCATTTGTTTCACAAATGTCACTGTGCACCAGCAGTGATAAGCAATAGTCAAAAAGAAGCCTGTACATTCATGGCACTTATTTCTGATACAAATCTCATAGCATTTTTAGGTGGAATCCACGATGTTGGCAGTTTCCCAGATTTAGGAATACTTTCCCAGGAAGACAGTACCATGGACTACTCAGGTTTTATTTTATGTCCAATCCCCTCTGTCCCAGAGGGGCCACCCAAGCACCTGGGAGTGTCCGAGTCCCTCCAGCAGCGTTTATTCTGAGCACTTAGAAAATCGCGGACCTGAATACATGACATTTTTTAATTTCACAAAGTATATAGAGTATTATGTACTTCATCACGTTCTAAGCCCTTTATAAATATTGACATTTAATCTTCCTCCCAGGTCTGTGCAGTCGGTAGTATTCCCCTCCCGGTTTCCCAGATGAGGCAGCGGAGCGGCCTGTCACTCAGGGACCCCGCTGGCAAGAGGCGGGACCGGGACTGGCGATCAGGCTCTTAGCCGCTGCCCTGCCTTTTTTGATATAAGTCATAAAAAGGTATTTTTTTAAAATCATCAAACATCGTCCCCGTTTTGCACCTGGGGTTTCTTTGGACGTTTAGGGTTGTTTGCAGCCAGGTTTAGTGAAAACATAGGACGTCCTGGCCCTCTCTTACTCCGGCTCCCGTTCTGGGGGGCCCCCGCTGGTCCTTCCTGAGTCTCTTTTTGCATTGAGTTATCTGTCCCATTTAATTTGTGTACATAGAAGGTGTTTAATTTCACTCCATTTAGTGACGTGCTTCAGTCCTGCCAGAACGTCTGTAAGTTCCCCTGACGGACAGCAGAGAACTGGCCAATGAGCACATGTGACAAGTAGGGAAAAGTGGATGGTTTGTTGCAAATGCTCAAGCCAGTTTACTTGAAATTGGGGATTTTGTTTCCCTCCTTTGTGAGACCGCATAATAGTTTGATTTAGCTATTTATAAGTGTTTAATTGTATTTTAAACAATAGAGTAAACGGACAATAGGCCCTCACTTATCGGAATAATAAAACTGGGGGCAATACTATTTAAAACCTCGCACATTCATTTATGGGTCCCTTGAGGGGGAAGTCTTTAGGCCACTCTGGACTCTGTTTTTAGGTCGGTAGCAACAAGATGTTTCTGCCTGGTAGTTCTCCTGCGGCTCGGGGGTCTTTTGTTGAGGTTAGTTTATTTGTATCCCCCCAGGATCTTCAAGGCGTTTCTGGCCCCCTTTGGGGGGAAATATTCCGTATGCTTCAGTCCTCAGCCTGTGATCATTTGCATCCGTCACTCTATCTGAAATCCTCCTCATCACCCCTCCCATCTCAGCCTTCTTTTCTGTGTCTGAAATAGTTTCTGAATGCTCTAAGATACTTCTGAAATCCTGTTTCTTCAGTGAAACTTTCCATGGTTAAGAGAGAAATCTGGCCTCTGCCCTGGCTGGTGTGGCTCAGTGGATGGAGTGCTGGCCTGCGAACCAAAGAGTCGCTGGATTGATTCCCAGTAGCAGGGCACATGCCTGGGTTGCGGCCCAGTCCCCTTGTTGGGGACATTTGAGAGGCAACCACACATTGATGTTTCTCTCTGTCTCTTTCTCCCTCCCTTCCCCTCTGTCTAAAAAAATAGAAAAAAATCTAAAAAAAAAAGAGAAATCTGGCCTCATCTTTATTTCTACTTGTTTTGTTATTCAGGGATGAAGTTTAATGAACTTTCATTGTACATGGTTCCTTCACTTTAATTTTAACAGACTAATTTATTCTGCATATGGAAACCAGCACAGATCTCTCTGTTTTATGCTTATCTTTGGAACAGTGACCTTGTTTAGCATGACAAGCATGAATTCTAATTCAGCTGGTCGTGTATTTCGCTTAGGGAAGAGTTTATCGTGTGTGGATGAGTATGAAATAAAATGTCACTGCGTTTCTGTTGGTTTTCCAGGGCTCCTATAACAAAGCTCCACAGACGGGGTGGGTGAAACAGCAGAGATTTATTTTCTTGCAGTTGTGGAGGCCAGAAGTCCGAGATCACAGTGTCGGCCGGGTTGGTCTCTTCCGAGACCTCTCTCCTTGGCTTGCAGATGGCCCTCTTCACATGGTCTTCAGTCTGAGTGTGTCTCCTTTTCTTATAAGGGTATCGGTCATATTGGATTCAGGTCCATCCATGTGACTTTTTTTAACTTAATCTCTTTACAGATGCTACCTCCAAATGATCATGTTCTGAGCTATGGGGGGTTAGGTCTTCAATGGATGGATCTTGGGGAGACGCAATTCAGCCGTAACAATAAGCGAGGGAAGAGAGCATCCTGACGGAGAGGAGGGTGTAGGGTAATGGTCACGACCTGGTTTAAAACTGGCTAAGTGATTTAGGGTAAAATTCACCCTAATTAGCCTATTGTCCATACTTCCCCAATTTTTTGGACTCAGTGAAATCTGAAGTACCTTCTAAGCACCTCTAAGATGCCATGTTTTTTGCTTCTTATCTAGGAAGACAGTTGGGGAGGTGATGTTATGCTGTGTTTGCTGGGTAGCATGCAAAAGATCAGGGCTTGTGTCAAATAGACTTTGATTTGAATCCGATCTCTTTTCTTCTGTGGGAAGCCGAAGAAAATGGCTATAAAGACCTTTCTCTTGACCCCTGACAAGCTCTGTGACTGTGGACAGGTTATGCAGCATCCACAAGCCCTGACTTAGCCACCTATGTAGTGGGCATAGGGTTGTTAGGGGGTCTCCTTGGCTCCAGTCCATTGTCACTGCTGCCTGCAGCAGATAGATCCCACCCCTTTCCAGATGCCCTGGGTAGCCCCAGGTGCTGAGACCCAGCCCCCGCCGCCCAGGTACGGCATCACTGCACATACCTGCTGGCTTGTGGCGCCTCTGCTGCCTGCTCAACTTGCGTGTCATGGAGACCATTTGTGGCACCATGCGGTCAAGGTGGAGCACGTGTTATATCAGTGTTCCCCACCTCTCTTGCTGTGTGGTGGAGCCCTTCTGCTACACAGATGTCATTTCAGGCAAGTTAGATTGGTTCCAACTCATCTGGTTACCATAAAATAATTGGTTCTTACTTCTTCTTTCCATATTTAATAAGCCCAAATGGTTACCAAGAAATTGTTCCTGTTCCTGAATCTTATCAGGAGGCAAATGGGGAAAGCTGGTGGGACAGAGATGGCGTTCAGCCTAGCACATGAGATTTTAAGTTGCACAAACTTCGGTATTACCGGAAATAAGTGCTGGACTTCCATCTCCTTTTCCTAGACCAGAGAGCCCCCACAGAGCAGAGCATTTGTGAGGGGTAAACGAAGTGCGTGTGTGTCTGTGTGTGTGTGTTTGAGGCGGGGTGGGGCCAGCAGTGTGCCTTTCACACACATTGTTCTAGTTAAATAGAGTTTCTATGCTTTGTGTTGGGATTGAGTGTATATAAATCCGGTCATTTAAAGCACTAGATGGTCTTTGTTATTAGACTTCAGCAGTGCAGTTGACTCAGGTCAATTGAAATAAAATTCTATTCGAGTAAAACTACCATGGAAACAGGTTGACCAGAGAGTTCTGTGTCCAGGAATCAAGATGCCCAAGTTGTATTTGACTAACAAATTTGAATCATTATATCTACATTAGAATACAACCCTGTTGGCAGTAGCATTTGGCCTGGGAAATTCCTATAAGCTAACTCATTTAACATTGCCTTTCTCTGGCCCACTGCTAGGACCTTTCCTTTGGATTCTGTATTCATCAGAAGTTTTTCGGTAGCAAGGGACAGGCCTGTAGGATATTATCGGGGCATTTTTTTTTCTCTCTCTCTCTCTCATGGATTTATTTCCAGAGAACTGATCAGAAAACTGACTGCTAGCACCCCCAAGGTTGTGTTCTCATGACTTCCATTTGGAAATGAAGAAAGAACCTCTGTCTTCCGTATCCATATATCAAAGAGCAAGGAAGATTTTCGTTGCTTCTGCTTGAGTCACATGGTCACCCCAGAACCTAAAGCTGGTTGACTGATGAAATGGGGTGGCGAAGCATGCTGATTAGCAGGCCCGCTGGAATCCCATGGGCCGGGAGAGGGGTGCAGTCCCACAGGAAGAGCCGCTTAGCAAACAGTCAGCCGTGTCCATACAGATAACTGGGCACTTCAGGTCATCAGGGATTTAATGTTCATTCTTTCAGTGGAAAGGGAATGGGAAGGTAATGACCAAAAAACTGAACTAGATCCACTTGGGCATTTTAAGCTGTCCATTGCAAATCTGTCTGAGACGAGGCTGCCCTTGAAAGGTGTCCGTCAGGTGGGCTATGCATTCCACAGACAGTCGGACAGTGGAGCACGATTGGTGATTTCTGATAGTCAAGGAGCAGAATGACGTTAACGGCCCCTTTTGCTTTTGTGCCAGGGCTGGACGACTGCCTGCAGCAGTACGTCCACAAGTTCGAGCGGGAGAAGATCAACGGCGAGCAGCTGCTGCGGATTGCCCACCAGGACCTGGAGGAGCTGGGCATCACGCGGATCGGGCACCAGGAACTCGTGCTGGAGGCTGTCGACCTGCTCTGCGCACTGGTTAGTTCAGCAAAAGGTGGTCTGTACCGTGAGGGCGTTCTTCAGAACGCTGTTCTCTTAAACCTTCCTCCTTTGCTGCTGAGTGCATCATTGCTTCCTTCACGAGTCACTGATGGGAGCTGGAGATAATGTGAGAAGCGAAGGCAAGCAGTCGTTTCCCAGACTAAGAGTTGGCAGAGTGTGGCCTGTGAGTTACATATGGTCCGCTGTCTGTTTTCATAAATAAAGTTTTATTGGGACGCAGCCAGGCCCGTTCATTTATGTGTGGTCCGAGCCTGACAGTGGCAGAGTTATTTGTAATGGGGACCATGGGGCCCCCCCAAAGCCTAAAATATGATTTTGCCCTTTACAGAAAAAGTGTGTCTGTTACAGAAAAACTCCTCATGAGTCTTATTTTTGAATCCTTTGTAAAGAATGAGAAGATGGAGATGGTCCGGAATGAAAACGTCTCCCACATTGCAATGACAAACAGGCTCTCATTTCCGTGTCTGTTTTCGTTACTATAAAAAGCATTTTTCTGCTTCACAGGTATTTGTGATATTTCTATAACTGATGCCCGTGCTGGAAGTAATCAACCTGTGAAATGGTAGCTAAATGGAAAAAATGTGGACTTAGTTCCATGTCGCAGATGACTGAGCTTTGCCTGGACCGTGACTGAGTTAAATCCTGCCAGGTTCTGACTCTTGCATTGCACCTGTGGCTGCGGGGGTGGCTCTTAGGGGAGGGCTAGAACACCTGTAAGGGCATTGTGTCTATACACTGGTTGGCATGGGGAGGGATCCGTGTCCGTCCGTGAGGGTGCCACACGAAGGATGCAGTTTCCCGAACTGTCAGGATTTGGACAGACTGGGCAGCATTCAAGCTGGGTTAGTAATGCCGTGAACCTGAGCCAGGGGCATATACAATTACATCACTGAGAATGGTGGGAAAGAATGCGCTGCCGATTAGTTTGCTGTTGCTGGTCTGCGTTCCGTTGATTATATAACACTTGTGGCATTGTGCGTGTTCTTTTGCTTAAAATGGACAGAGCCTTGTCTTCGGCTCTGAGATGCGCCGCTCTTGTTTAGGAAAGTAATGGGGAAATTATTCGTGGTTGATAAACGAGCTGCCCCGAGGGAGACGCCGTGGCCAAGTGGTGTGAGCGGTGGCCTGGGAGGCAGGCTTTCTGCCTTCTGATCCTGGCTCCGCTGCATGCTCCACACTCCGTGACCTCCAGGGGGGCGGCGGTGCCTGCCTTCCCCCTCCGTACAGTGACGTTCCCCGGGATGGGGCGGGTACCAGCGTGGGTTTTTGCACTGCCCAGAAGACATCTAAGAGTCCTGTTTATTATCAAAACTGCATGTTTTCAATCCAGTGTAACATGTTTCAGGTCCCTTTTATTATGCTTTCTGGCAACCATGCGTTTCACTCTTTCCTGCTCTTTTTGAATCATTTCTTTAGCTTTGCGGTGGGACTCTGAGGACAGGTAAATCACTTTGGAATCGACAGCATGAGAGGGAGGGAGGGAAGGAGGTGGACTCCAGGCACCCTTGTGTACAGCAAGGGTGATCATAAACACAACAGCTGCCTCTCTTTGCTTTCCCCCCTTCCCTACCTCTCAAGCTATTAGGCTGAAATGAACAAAGCTGGATGCACGCCAGGACCTAAAGCTGCGCTTTATCTCCTACAATTTCCTTCTCATTTCCTCTGTAGACAAAGTTCTGACCTCAGACTCACTCTGCACATGCTTGGTGTGCAGCGTGCCAGTGAGTACCTCCGACAGCAGGGTCGCTGGCGGCTTTGCAGATGAGCGCCCCTGTTCTGGGTCGGAGAGTTTTAGAGAGTGTGACCAAAGTGTCTTCTAGTCTTGAAATGATCTCCTTCTTAAATATCCTTATGATAATGGATGCACTAGTAACACTGTCCTTTTAATCCATTGACGCCATGCTGATCTGTGTGTCTGTAAACTGGTGATGAGTTTTTGCCTCGAAGAATCCGTCTCCTGGGCTGTTCCTTCACGTTCCTTGCAGTTGGCTGTGGTGCCATAAAAGGGGTTTTCATGTAAACACAGTTTAGCGGATGTTGATGTTATGGTGGGCAGGAAATGAATAGAATTAGAAGTAAGGAAGGGGGGCGGGTAGGAAAAATAAAACCATTGGAAAGTTTTGGAAAGAAAAGAGCAGGTAGAATGGATAGGAACCTCAGATAGGGGACAGCTACTGGGTAAGATTCCAAAACCAGTGAGTAGAGACGGACCACAAATAGCTTAGTCGTGGGGAGAGAGCAAGGAGAGAAACAGCCCTTTGTGAACGTTGACCTTGACTGGCTGGAGTGGTTGAGGAGAGGAGAGTGTCGGTGATTGTGACGCAGAATCATGGTAATTTCCGAGGCCTGAATTCAGAGTGTGAGCCCAGATTTTCCTCCCTACCCCTGGGGGCAGGCTCAAGCCGCTCTTTGTAGTAGGATAGTTGTTAGCTACATGCGACTATTTCAATGAAAATTAATTAAAATGGAATAAAATTTAGTTCCCCAGCTGTACTAGCTACATTTCAAGTGCTCAGTAGCTAGCTGTGGTCACTGGCGCCCACGCCGGGTCAGGGCAGATAGAGAACATTTTCATCACCGCAGAGAGTTCCGTGGAGTGGCACTGGTCTAGAGGGTGTGCTTGCCAGCAAGAAGGTGTAATCGTAGCCCATTGTCTGTGCCAGATCCACCAGACCCTTGTTACCTGAAGACCAAAGCAGGGACAGATGTGGGTTTTTTGGTCTGTTTTTTTTTTTGAGGTTGTTGCAGGCTGAGAAAGTGAACAAAGTTGGAATTAGTGCACGTGCTAAGTGATGCCACGTGTATGGGGTTGAATGAAATACCTGTAACGGATCTACCTGCCCAGGGTGCTGCTGCACACTCTGTACCCCTGCGTTTACTCATTGTTCATCATTTACCCACAGGGCACATCATTAAAAATGTTACCTTTTTATGGGGAGAAATCATGCAGGTGGAGTAATCCTTGCTGGCAGTTGGTATTTAACTTGATCTTGCTTGTGAGCTTATTAAGTGCCTTTAGGAAAACTGTGGAATGTATTTCTTAGGTTGTAACTTAATTGTCCCAAGTCAGAGAGATGTTTGATTGTGTGTTTCTGACACTCCCTTATCATGAATGTTAGATCTCGAGTATAGCCCGCAGGATCGGGAAAGGAAGGTAGAAGAGAAGTTGCGTGAGATTTCCCTTCGCTAATATGTGTGTAATGGAAGGCACCAGGAAAGTGAGAATCTGCCTGTTTTCTTTTCTCCTGTCTCTTGTGTCATTTCTCTGCCAGACCAGGACATGACCTTGGATGGCTGACTTCTAATGAAGTGACATCTCTGTGGAAAGTTTTTAGTATATATGTAGGTATTTGGGGGCTTCTTTCATTTCTTACCTAGTTTGTGTTTTCTTAATACTTTATCTCTAAGCAATTTCTGAAGGAGACAAGTTTCAGGGAAAAGATATTGAAAATAATCAAATCTGGTCTGAGAAATTATTTATTTTCTGTCTTCGCTATGGGGCACTTAAGTCAATAGTCCTTTCCTGATTATGTTTCTACAATAGAAGTTCTTTTGAGCTAATATAATCAGTTTCTTGTTCTCTTGGATTTGTGGAATGGGGTGGTAGGAGAAGAAATTTCCCTTCTTTACTTTGCTCGTTCGTTCTTCCTCTTTTCAAAGAAGTTATTTTTTAGTATAGCTATATCTATCCATCCCTCGAGTCCCGTGATTTGTTTTGGGGGAAAAATAAAAAGAATCAGAGCAAATGGAGTCAAAATGAAAAGAACCAGTTAATAAGAAGCTATGCTTCCCCTTTATTTTAATATCCGAAGTGGTAGGGTTGTAGGAGTTTGAGGTTTAAAGCTTCCTGCAACACTTACATGCGTTTAATCCCCTTTGAGTTTAGGAAGTAAATGTTGTGTGTCGTATTGAAAGTTCCAAGTAATTTATGGTGACATTGTGATCTAGAAAGCCAACTTCCCTGCTTTTAGTTCAGAATTCTTGACATAAGTTGGCAGGCTGAGTGATGGACTGAAGGAGGGGCAGTTCCCTTCAATCACAGTCACCAGTCCTTTAGGACAAGCCGTAGTGTCATGTGGCTCTTTATCCATGCACTTGTGAGTCCGGTTCTCTGCGCTGAAGAAGCCGCGATGAGAATCCATCCTTTTATTTTTGTCTTCTCTATTGAAGGACAATATTATGTCTTAACTCTCTAGAAAAGGACAGTGAGGAAAAAAGAATGAATGTAAAGTTTAGGTAGACATTTCTGTTAACACAGAGCACTCATTTTTATTATGAAATTTACAGTTCATTTTCAAGGTTGGCCAAAGAGTTTTCAGTTAATGGATCTGGAAGTGGTTTTTTTTTTCTTTATGCATGTATTTGTACTTAACTCTTTAAAAAAGTTCTATCTAAATTTAACATAAATTTAAACATCCAATAAAATCTAGTTAAAGTTTTCATTAAGGTAAAGTCTTGTTGTTATTACCACTCTTCTTCTCGCCAAAAAAAAAAAAAAAAAAAAGAACTCCCCAGTATGTTTCTGCTTTGTGTATCTTGATTTTGAGATGTGGCTCACCCGCCCTGGGGCACGCGAGATGGGCTACAAGAGAGGAGGGGCTAAGGGACAGTTTAGGTACCGGGGACCAAAGCATCGCTCAGATTGAAATAGGGCGTGCTGGCCTCTCAGAAGAGGGGGGTGTGGATGGCTCTTCTTGGGTGGGGAGTGTGGAGGCAGGGGCACACAGTATCGTGATCCAAAGCTCAGGCCCTCCGTGCAGACTGCTGAATGAGAATCCCACCCCTACCTCTCGTGAGCTGTGTAACCGGAGAGTTTTCCTAATGTCTCTGTCCCCCAGTTTTTTTCACCTGAAAATGAGATAATATCATTTCCACCTGCACAGGCTGTTTGCCTGGGAGAGTTCCTGTCCAGCACTGAGCCCAGCTCCAGGAGCACGGGAAGTGCTCGGTCACGTTGGCCATTGTGTTAGCTCCAATTTTTATTCACAATTTTTAAATGGTTCCACATTCTTGCCTTGGGACCCTACTGACCCAGTGTAAGATACCCGAGAAAGATCTTCCCTTTTCGTTAAAACGATTAAACAGACGATAACACGGAAACTCATTTCTCACTTGCTGCCAGAGTCATCTCAGATTTATGTGTTGTTTTCTGGGATTTGTTCTTTATCTGAAAGAGAGTCTAGGCAATATTGTCAGATGAAATTGATTTTTTTAAAGCACCCAAATAACTTGGACGTCGTCCAGAAGGAACATAGGTTAGAAGCTCCTGAGACGGAAATTACATTTCAGGGGAATTGATGTTTAGTTAGTAGTGCTCTGTTTCGGCGTGAGGGTCTCATCGGATGGAAGTTCATGTATCCAGCCACCATTCCATTGTCTGCTGGGCTGCAGATACAGTAGGGAGCAATGCACGCAGCTCCCCGCCCTCACAGACCCTGCGTCCCAGGGAGGACGACAGCGGCAAACACGGTGGTCCAGAGAGATGACAGATAGGTGAGGTGCCACAGAGTGACCCCAAGGAGGGATCTGGCAATGTCTGGAGACCTTTTAGGTTGTCACAGCTGGGGAGAGGGTGCTACTGACGTCTCGTGACTACAGGCCAGCTCAGCATTGTGCAGTGTACAGGAATCTTCCCCTCACAACCCAAACAAAGAATCATCGGACTGGTCATGTCGGGAGGACCCAGGTTGAGAAACTGCTATAAATGGTCTGGGAAGCTTCAAAGAAGGAAAGGGGGCATTTGGGCTAATTTGGATTGAAGTGATAAGGAGCTGTCCCTGCCAGGATTTGGGAAGAGGAACCAAAGTCCCCGAGGCAAGCGTAGGCCATGGGAGGGCTCTCGTGGGTGAATTCAGCACTGTGGGTAAATAACAGGGGGTTTTGTGGCCGTCATAGGAGTTATTCACGTTACCCAATGGGCGTTTGAGTTACTATGCAAGTTTGGACTCTGTTAATTGTTTTGCATTTTTTCTTGTCTGATTTTATTTTCCTCAGAATTATGGCCTTGAAACCGACAATATGAAGAACTTGGTTCTGAAATTGCGAGCCTCCTCCCACAACTTACAGAACTACATCAGTAGCCGGCGGAAAAGCCCCGGGTATGACGGGAACACGTCCCACAAGCCCCCCAATGAGTTCCTGACTTCCGTGGTGGAGCTCATAGGCGCTGCCAAGGCCTTGCTGTCGTGGCTAGACCGGTGAGTGATGGGTGTGCTTTGGTGTCCTGTGAAAGGAGGGCCCGAGGTGCACAGGGGCCTGTACTCCGTCTTAGGGGAACGGACCATGGTCCCTTCCTTGTCCCTTCCCCGGGAGCTCTCGGTTCTGGATCAGCGGTAGTCTTTCAAGCCCCCTTTGGAAGTTCCTAGAAAGTGACTAGCAGGAACAAATCAACCTCAGCCTAGAGAAGAGTGAAACTGAGCTAAAGTTGTGTTTTGCTGAGGTTAAACATTCATGATTATTTGCTTGTATGAGGGCTGTTAGTTGACTTCTGAATGGATTTCTCGTGGCTCATTTTTGATGGGTTTGTGTGTGTTTTCTAGCACGTCTCTATTTTCTGTTCAGATTCCCGTTTTATGTGTAACTGAAAAAAAGGGGGGTTACATAACACATAATTTAAGGTAGCTTGTTGAGATCTGAGCTTGTCAGCATATTCAGCGTAGTGTGGGGTCCCAGTGGGTTCCCCTCCTGTATCCTCACACTTTTGAAAGAGGATTTTTCTTGCTTTCCAGGGCCCCTTTCACAGGGATCACGGATTTCTCAGTCACGAAGAACAAAATCATTCAGCTTTGCTTGGACCTGACCACTACAGTCCAGAAGGTCAGTATGCCACGGTCACCTCCTAATCTTTTTCTCTCCCTGTTCCCTTTTCTCTCGTCTTCAAAAGGTTGACATGCAGGCATGAAGTACCATTCTTTCTCTTTCTTCGTATTTTCCTCCATTAAAATTGGGGAGAGATGAAAGCCTTTGGAGACACTGTATAGATGGGTCCTGAAAAAATAACCATTTCAGGCCTTTACCTCAAAGGCTACCTTCTCTTACCTTAAAATAGTTGAGCTAATTGTCCCCTTTACTTTCTCTGAAATGTGACAGAACTTAATTTTTTTAAATAGAAATTCTGGAGTAACTAATTTTCACTATAATCTTTGTTCTTAGTTTTCTTTTTGACCTCTTGTGGTTGGGCATACCAGTCAGGATGAGCTAGGTTATGATGCAGTAACAAATAACCTCCAACCTCAGCAGTTCATTTCTTGATTATCTGCATCCAAATGGGTCGGCCTGGGGATCTGCTCCGGTCCTCCTTGCTTCCCGGCGTAGGCTGGCAGAACAACCAGCATCTCGTGTTCCTCGTCCCCTGGCAGAGGGACAAAGAACCGTGGAGGATTTCACACCGACAGATGTTCTGGTTTGGAAATGACATGTGTCAGTTTCCCGTACAGCTCCGTGGCCAGACCTAGGACCGGGCAGATTTATTTCAGTCAATCAGTAACTGATGAGTTTCTGTGGCCTGAACTTAAAAAAGAAAATATTATTAGACCATCAGCTCTTAAGGTCACTTCTTATCATTCCCCTGGCACCTAGCAGACACTGTAAACTATTTTTGAATCGAGTGGAGGCTATAAAATGGAAGGAAGAGGTTGTCCTTTTTCCAGGTTCCACTTGTTTCTAAAATTCCGATTCCACATTTGTTCCCACTGCTGATTTGGCAAAATGTAAAGAACGTGCCTTCCTCAACCCTGCCGGTGCCGTACAACAGGTGCAGCTCTGAAAAGCCCCGTGCCTTCTCTTTGTTCCTAGAATGTGAGGCGTGACGTCTGGCTGTGTTCGGGGCAGCTGTTTGAGGTTCGGTCTTCAGCAGCCATTGAACTTAAGGCGCATGTGACTTTATCATATGCTTTCGAGGCCGTGTTCTTAGAAAGGATCTTGGAACAACTAAAGTGGCCCTGAGTTTCTGCTCTTTTTTACAATGTGGAAAGTCATTCTGACGAAAACAGCCTGATACCACTTGTGATAAATTGATCACACAGCCACCGAGTCCTGGCATTTGTGGTGGAAGACATTTATTTCTCTGACACCTTAAGCTTTCTATTCCTTCTCAGTTTCCCCCTTCCCTCTATATTCTGCCTCCTGTTTTGAGTTTTTAAAGAGTTTTCTGGTGATCAAGCAAGATGACAGTTAAGAATTAAACATTATAATTAGCAAATGGGAAAGTTTTGCTCATGGATATATCAACTGATGGTTGTTGACACCGATTCAATGCCAACAAGAATCTCCAGTTTGGGGTGCAGGGAGGAAAGAAACTTTGTTCAGGGCAGAACAGCTCAGCTGTGATACAGCGGGGCTGTCAGGCAGCCATGGGGCCAGGGCACTCTCTGGCGAGACAGCTCTGCTCCTCTCCTTGCAGGCCTGCCCCACTCTGCTCCAGAGAAACGTCTTCGGTGTTGCAGTTCAGCCGGGGAAAGGCAGTCAGTCTTCAGAGACAGGTGGAAAGAGCAAGGGCCTTCTCCTGAGCCAGAGGGGAGCTGGTTCATAGAGACATAAGTCCCTGCCCCTGAGTCCTGATCAGTCTGTCCTCAGGCAAATGAGGACTACAAATCCTCTCAATTTGATTGGTTCAAGAGGCATGAACAGAATAGAGCCACTCTGGTTGGTCAGAGCTGCCCAGCTCCAGCTGGATAGGGGAAGCCTTTGTCCTGTTGGTGGAAAGAGGATTCCAGGTCCTGGTTTACAGGGCTGGCTCAGAAGGCAGAAACGCCGTGCAGGCAGGCAGTTTAGTGCAGAGGCGTGTAGTCCAGTGCAGGCTTCTCCCTCAAGTGCAGTTGGAGTAAGAGACCATGTGTAGAAATGGCCACTAGGCTTTGATCTTTTAAAATTTCAGCCCCATTAGCCACTGGAGCCCTTTTTAGTAGGTATCTTCTTTCTCAGGGTCCACAGGTGCCTCTGGGTTTTATTTAAAAGGCCCTAGACCATATGACTGATTCAGGCTGCCCTTGCTATAGTGTAGGGAGAGGGGAAGAAAGTGCTGAAGCCGAAGGCCGAGGTGGCGTTTGTTTTCAGAAGATGAATCTGCTTTGCCTGATCAGGTCGATACTGGCTTTGTGTAGATAGTTGGACTAATCCTTCCATAAATATTTATTTAACACTTTCTGTGTGTCTACCAGTGGGAATATCCGTGAATAAACAGATAAAAAAGTCCTTGACCTCATGGAACTTACAGTCTCTGGGCAAAAGAGAAAAGGAAAAGATAAGTAAGCAAAATGTATATGGAGTTAGATGAAGCTGGAGGAGTTCTGAGGAGGGAAGGTACAGGAAGTATTGAGAGTGGAATCCAGTTTGAGATATGTGGCTAGAGGAACCCTCACTGTGGAGGTGACACTTGGGCAATCCAACCCGACGGACTGTGCTTGTCTAGACGGAATGAGCTTGCCGCCTGGTCTCAGGGGGTGGTTTCCTCGTAGCCGTAGAGCCGATTGCTATGGATGGTGATAAAAAGACTTCCCCTGGAGGCTGAGGTCTGGACCGGGTCACGTCAGGAGGGCACCCACGGAGCCTCCCCCTCACACCAGCCCCTGCTTACTGGGGCCTCACGACGCCTGGCATGTCATTAGGGGTGATTTCTAAATGTCTGTGTAAATGAATGCGAGAACACTTCTGACAAATAAGCTGATGAGAATTTGTCTCTTAGGGGAACTTGAACCCAAATTTAAGGAATACAAGAGGTATTGTTTTTATTTGTTTGTGGTTTATTTTTTCATTTTGTTTTCCCTCTGGTGTTCATTGAGCATACAATTCAAAGACAGATAGGTTCAAATCCTGTCTCTACCTTAATTAGCCCTGGGACTTTGGAGAAGGCACTGAAAATGTATGAGCCTCAATTCTTTCATCTGTAAAATGAAAATGCCAGTATTTACCTTACCAGATGAATGAGTAGAATTTCTACAAGGTATTGAGAAAGAAAAAAGGGGAAAAGTATAATAAGAACAAATGGTGACCAAAAGCATTTTTTAGTGTATGTATATATGTACATGGAATATTTATAAACATCCAAAAAACTATACACCAGGGGCTATATTAGCATAGTGGGCAGTTTGGAAGAAAAATTGAGTTTATCTTAGTTGGGAAAGAATTGAAGAGGAAACATGGGGGCCAAGCCAAAAAAAAAGGAAAAGAAAAATATATTTTTTTTTTACAAAACGCGTATTTATCACACTTATGTATTCATGTAAAATCAACATTAGAGGAATAATATATAATCTTTCAAAAATAATACCTAAAGATCATGAGGAAAATGAATGATATATAACATATGCAAAGCACTATGCCCACTTAAGAAACAGCCTATCATAGGAAATATAAAAATCTTGCCTGGTACTAAGCTTCTGGAACCAAATTTGATGTTTTAAGGAGAGGAAGTTAACAAAGGTGTTTCTATTATATTCTGGTATGTTTTGGTTTATTTAAATTTAAACAGTTTTTAAGGATTAAGCCTGGCAATATATAGGGATCCAGTACAATAATGCCCCTTTTTTATTACAAAATATTTTATGACAAAATCATAAGCATGTCATTCTGTAACATCACAATCATGCTCAAGCACACCATATGGCATTTTAGGTGAAATATTTGAATTAAAACTATAAAACTATAAATTATTACACCCATATTATTGCCCTACCAACCACACTCAAGCTGGCATTGCTTCTGCCAGACCCTGTATAAATATATGCAGGAGTATTATTTTATAAACTTAGATTGAAAAACCATTATTAGCTGTCGATGACCCTGCATTTTCTGTAGTAGTTGGAGAACACAGGAGCTTTGACAAGTGGATTATTGGTTCACGTACACGCACGTTAGAAATGACCATTTGTATTAAATAATTACTTGAATGTCTGTTTCGGTGTCTGGGGACTGGCAGCTGTAAGACCGAATTCACCCCACCCTCTCTTACAGCTGGGTGAGCCGCAGTTTTTCTTTGAACATTTTGGCAGAAGGTCTATTGACTTGTAGGAGGAAACCCCCCTTTTCCATTCATTCCTTTTACCTGGGGACCCGAAGCAAGAAAGGTTGCATCTTTATTTCCGGTGACAAGGAACTTGTTCTCCTGGAGTCTTTTGTTCTTTGTGTCCCTGTCTGCGAGGACAGACACTTGCTTGTCCCTTTGTCCTTTCTCTCTTCCACATGTGGCTCTTTCCCTTGCTTCTTTCTTGCCCCTTCCCCTGATGACAACGTGTAAGTCTCCCGATTTGAAGGAAGGCTCTGAAATTCTGTGATTGTACATTTGTAAGGAAACTGCACACTGCTTTTAAGCGTTCAGCAGCTACAGTCCCACACCCAGTCGTCCAGACAGATCCTCCATCCAGTTTTCAGGCTGTGATTTCAGGTGAAGGAAACTGAGGTGGGAGGGGATTGCAATCGATACTGTCAATCAATCCATCCTCCCAAAATTGCAACGACACGAACGATGGAATCCCAGTGGCGGGGGTGGGGGGGGGCGAAATGACAGTGGCTGGTGCTGACTTCCGGTGTGGAAAGAAATGAGAAATGTAAAGCCCAAGAAAGCAGAGTTGGGACAAAGGTAGCCATGGAAGCAGGCGAGGAGCAAGGCAGGAGGCCCTTTCTTGAGCGCTGGTTGTGCATCAGTCATGTGCTGTGTGCTTGACCCACAGTGACATGAGTTCTCAGAGGTAGGTCCTGTCTTCCCTGGGTTACCGAGAGGGGACCAGGCGTGGAGAGGTCCAACAGACCGCCGGAGGCTCCTCAGGCAGGCAGAATAGGGAAGAGTGTGGAGGGAAGGGTCACCTGTTGGCTGCCCAGGCAGGGTCTCTGCCAGGCAGGCTGCCCTGAGTCTGCCGATCCAGGTGACTGAGGAATGTGACAAAGCTTAGCCGCCTTGTCTGGCTCCTGAGGACGTGACTTGGTTCCAATACTCCTTTTTTCCATCCCACGGCCTTCATGCCAAACAACAAGAAGTCACGCCTGCAGCTGCTTCCTCTCAGTAGGGATGGGTGTGGGAACCGACACGCATGATGATGGAAGTTCGAAGTGAGCTCTTTCACATGCCGACTCGGGCCAGTCCGGGAGGCAGAAGAGTTTCTTTTCCCCAGTGGCCCGATCACCACGGAGAGAAGCTTCTTGGATCTGTCAAAGAATCGAGTCTCGGGAACCGTGAGGTCACACCTCGGGCCCTGGTGTAGAGGGAGCCACTCTCTGCCTGCGGGCAGTTAGGTCGAGATGCTGTCAGTGCTCATACCACTTTGGGTTTGTACAGAAACCCAGAAGTGCAAATTATTAGCTCCATTTCTAGCATAAGACCACATGAGTACCCTCTTTTCCTGAAGTTGACGTTTATTTAATAATTCTGTCCCTCAGGCGGTGCTAACAGGGGGTGGGGCCATCACAGTAGTTGCTAGTCGCTCGCCCTGTGCAAACTGGAGGAGGAAAAGCACATTTTTGAACTCTATTACTTGTGTTTTACAGAGGTTTTCCCCACAATTTGAATTTATATCAGACTCAGGCATGTAAAAATGCACTTCTAAATTTCTTTTTCTGAGCCTTTTCTTACTTGGCTGCTCTTTTCCTGAGAGCTGGTGTAAATTTGGGGAGCAGTGAGAAACTATGACTGTTACTCACATTTTTGCCGAGTAGAGAAGATTTTAAAATACTTTAAGAAGACACGGAAAACCTGATTATAAAGTCACGTAGGGTACAAACGGGTAACTCTTTCTATATCCCCACTCTCGCATGACCTAAAATGACTTTTTGATTGAAGGGAAATGGACAATTCCAGCAGAGTTGATTGATAACCTTTGTGGACATAAAGGAATGAGCACTCCCATAGAATGTCCCAGTTTGGGGTTATACCTAATGGTGCTGAGTAAACTCTGAAGAATGCAGCTGGTCTCCCTTTCCTCCTGCATGTTCTCTGCCTCCTGGATCAGAATCCTCTGCTGCAGACGAGTTCCAGAAACTGAGAGCCACACACTGGCCGTTTCACTTCGGCTGCTTCTCTGCACAGGACAATGGCGGTTCCTATAATCAGCTCACTGGGTTCATGCAGTTTCAGGTCTTTTGTTCTGAAGCTGAGTAAATAATGCTTTGCATTCCAGCCCTTCATTGAAGGTCATTAATAGCATACCTCAAGACCGCTTTTTTGGCACTGTGTTAAATGAATGTTTCGTCGAACCTTTTTCATCTTTTAAGGGCACAAATATCTGATTTAATCTCAGTGGTGCTTAAAATAAACTTTTGTGGCTAAGCCCTTATTTGAAAGCTATTCTTATAGGCAGGCCCAAAGCTAAAGACGCCTGGCTGGTTGGCCCAGCGGTAGCTCAACCCTGGGTCACATTTGGGAGCCATCGCCAGGTTTGGGGACTATGACTTATGGCTTCCTGCTCTCCACAGAGTCTGGGGAGTAGGTGGATTTCAGCTCAGTGACCGTTGTAGGTTTTCAGGTTAACAATCAGTCAGACGGGTTCCTGGGATGGTAAGCTCCTTGGGTCAGGATTGAGCAGAACCTTAGGAGGAGTCAAATGGCTGTTCCATCCTCCTTGGCCCCTTCTGTCCGTCTAAGTCTCTCCTCGGTCCTTCTGTCCAGAACGGCTCAGGCTGCAGGGTGGGGGGCGTGTCAGGGTCTGCTGGCTCTAGGAAATGCCTAGAATGCTTAAGCCAACAGTTTTTGAAAGTTTTTAGTTCTTATACTTAGTTTTTCTTTTTCTTTTCCCCTTCTTTAGGACTGTCTTGTAGCAGAAATGGAGGATAAAGTTCTAACCATAGTAAGTATGTGTTCTCAAAATTACTGTAAAATTCCTTTTTCCAAAACAGTGAGAATTACTTTCATTAAAGTAAATGCACTGTGGTCAGTTAATTCAGGATATACTTTGGATTATTGCCTTTGGGATATGGGTCCATTCATTTAGATGGGAAAGACAGAATAAAAGTTATTTAGCAACAAGACCGACTACTGTGAAAATTCCTGTGCTGAACTTGGATATATTGAGGTCTGTCTTTTGCCTTTTTTTTTTTCTTCCCATGAACATTTCATCAGTGTGCAGTTAGACATCAGTCGATAGCCAGTCTGTTAATTGGGGTTCTGCTGATCTGCAAGTTTTGCCTTAAGACCATTTCAATTAAAACGAATTCTTGGCACACACTTGGTGATGGAGGGGGATGTACTGCGACTGTTGAACAGCATTTTGTAACCATTCATCATCACTTCCTCCTTTTGACACAAGCCAGCCTGTGCTCTTTTGATAAGGCCTTCCTCGTACTGATGTTGAGGAATTCAGCAATGAAACCGCTATAAATATATTTTCCATAAATAGAGAGGCTAAACCAATGGGAGGAGTTTAAAAAGTGTCACTTGTTGGATCTCCCCCTTGGAAAAAATTTTACTCTTTGGAATTTCCTGATTTTTTTTTGTTTAATTTTGCAAGTTTAGATGGATCTGATTGCGAGAAGTAACCGCATGTAACCGCTCTGATTTCTATGCGGAGACCATTTCATAGGGAGCCTCACCTTGTCATTAACATTTTATTTTGTCAAGGTTCGGCATTCAAAGAATGTGAGCATCATCATCATCATCAGAAAGATCGTGGACCTGAATTCAAAACATAAAACAATAAAATCCTAGAAAAATCCCCAGGAGATGTTCTAGGTGACCTTAGGTGTGGTGATGAGTTTTTAGGTACAATACCAAAAGCGTGAACCATGAAAGAAAAATTGCTAAGGAGACTTCATTAAAATTTAAAACCCTGCTCTATGAAATGCAATGTTAAGAGAAGAAAAAGATAAGTCCCAGATTAGGAAAAAAAAATACTTAAAAAATCCCCACCTATCAGATAAAGGACTCACATCCAAAATATACAAAGAACTGTTGAAATGCAATAATAAGGAAACAAACAACACAATTAAAAAGTGGGTGAAAGATCTGAATGGACACCTTACCAAAAAAGATACACAGCTGGCAAATAAGCATCTGAAAAGATGTACAACATCGTGTTTCATTAGGGAGTTGTACGTTAAAACAACGAGACGCGTCTGTACCCTTAGTAGAATAACCAAAGTGCAAACCACCACACCACCAAATTCGGGCGAGAATATGGAACAGCAGGAGCTCTCACTCCTCGCTGGGGGTGCAAAGTGGCGCAGCGCCCGTGGACGACAGTGTGGCAGTTTCCCACAAACTTGAGCATACTTTTACCCTGGGGTCTAGCAGTTGTAATCCTAGGCGTCGACCCAAATGAATGGAAAACCTACAGCTACAAAAACTTGCACAGAATATTATAATGGCTTCATGCATGATTGCTCCAGTTTGGAAGCAACCAAGATGTCCTTTGGTGGGTGGATGGATAAACAAACTGTGGTCCATCCGGACATTTTTATAGCTGAATATTATTCATCAATAACAAGAAATACGTTCCTCAGTTATGGAAAGATCTGGAGAAGCCTTACATGCATATTACTTAGTGAAAGAAGCCAATCAGAGAAGGCGGCATACGGTGTGACGATGACTATTTGACATTCTGGAAAGGGCAAAAATCATGGAGGCTAAACAATCAGCGACTGCCAGGGGTTCATGGTGGAGGAGGGGAGAGAGATGACAAAGTGGAACACTGGGGATTTTTAGGGCAGTGATGTTATTGTGTATGATATTGTAATGGTGGACACATGACATTATGCCTTTGTCAAAACCCATAGGACTGTACAAAAGAGAACCCTAATGTCAACTGGGGGCTTTAGTTAGTAATAATCTCTCAGTGTCGGTTAGTCACCTGTAACAAATGTAACACGCTAATGCAAGATGTTAATAATATCCTGTTATTATTAACTATGTTATTATATCACTGTTGGAAGCTGGGTGGGAGAGAAAGTATATAGGAACTCAGCACTTTCAGTTCTGCTTTTTAACCTGTCAATAATTGTGTCCATATTTGGTGTGCGGAGAATATGAATGATCACTAAAAAAATACAGGTAGCTGGGAATCAATTCTCCTTGTCTGCCAAAAGGGGGTTCCTGCCCAGCCTTTGCCCTTTAGTGGTTGTATATGAGATAATACAAAAGCTGCCCTTTTTAGACAAAGCTGAAAGGGTGACGTCATTCCTACAGATGGCAAATACGGAGTCCAATTTCACCGAGCAGTGGTATCGAAAGGATTGCCGACCGTAGCTAAAGATTATAGGTGAAGTGCATTTCTTTCTAGTGAACAACCTGAACTTACAAGCAACATAGAGACAGGCTCCCAGCTAGAGAGCAGGCTGACAGCTGTGGGTGCGGGGGAGGCGGGGAGGGATGGAGCAGAAAGGAAAAAGGACTCATGGACATGGACAACGTGGTGGTGACTTTGGGGGGGGCCAGGTGGGTTATAAGGGGGATAAATGGTCATGGAAAAATACAATTAAAAATTTTTAAAAAGAAAGAAAATAAAATTCAGCTTGAGAGAAAGTTGGGGAGTGGTTGAGCCTCTCTTCACCTTCTGCCTCTCTGCCTCCAGGTCAAGGTTCTAAATGGCATCTGCGACAAAACGATCCGGTCCACCACAGACCCCGTCATGAGCCAGTGCGCATGCCTGGAGGAAGTGCACCTGCCCAGCGTGAAGCCTGGGGAGGGCCTGGTGAGGATTCTAGCAGCGCTTGTTTTGTTTTCAAATAGTAACACGTTGCCATTCATTAACCTTTTTTCACAATTCCATATTGCTTTCACTATAATTCCGAATGGAATTAGATTGTCTTCTATCATGTAGTTAGCAATTTGCCATCTTGAACTGTCGATACGTTTTTTTCCTAAGATTTTATTTATTTATTTATTGATTGATTGATTGATTGATTGATTGGAAAGCAGGGACAAAGCCAGGGAGAGAAACATCAATGTGTGGTTGCCTCTCTCACACCCCCAGCTGGGGACCTGGCCTGCAACCCAGGCACGGGAGTTGACCAGCGACCTTTTGCTTTGCGGGATGACACCCAATCCACTGAGCCATGCCGGTCAGGGCTTGAACTGTTGATATGTTTTATGTCTTCAAAGTGTAAAAACAAATACACTTTTAAAACTGTTCACTCATATCTTGAAGGAATTATCTTAACAGTTCTATCTTTAGGACTTAGCAATGCAGGGAAACAGAAGACATTTACAGAAAGGAGAGATGGTCTTTGAGTGCAAAACATGTGCTCTGAAAGTCTCTGCTAGCACGTCGGGTGGATGCGAGAGGAGGCTGTTTGAAAGGAACAATTCTTAAAAAACCACTCAGAAGTGCTTCCTTGGCAAATGCACTGTAGCTCCATAATAACAGGCCCCGAGAATACTACAGGGTGGTTGCCTCATTTACCTAGATCAGCACCCAGACTCCTGATGAGATTAATTCGTTGAGATTTAAGTGAAGGGAACTGAGGCCCATGGATGAACTTAGAAGCTTTGAGTCAAGCTTCTCAAAGTCCCAGCCCGCAAGTGACTTCACCTCTTTATGTGTGGGTTTCCTTACCTGTCAAAAGGGAATAATAGTAACTGTGTCTGCGGGGTGTTGGAAGTAGTAAGTTAGATGAAGGATGCTGAGCATCAGGTGCTGAGCACGCAGTCCATGTGCGGTCATTGGTGGCTACAGCTACCACAGCTGCCACTGAAGATGAGGAGGAGGAGGAGGAAGAGGAGGAAGAGTGCCTAGGGGCTGTCGGGAGATATCAAGGCAGGTTCTACTCTCAGAAAACCAAATGTCCACAAGCCCTTGTTCTTAGCAAGTAGAAATATGTATACAGAGACTGCTTGGCTTCAAAGGAAGTGATGGATCGCAAGACTCGACAGGGAAGAGTTCCTGGAGCTGAGTTTATAGTTACGCATTGAAGCAGAGAAAGGGTCCAAATAGACAGAAGTGGAGTTTCCATTTCAGATGGTGAAGTCACCCAAGGATGTGCTCTGTGCAGGAGCGTGCCACGGACAGGGAGACGCTGATCACTCTGAGAATGAAAATACGTAGCTGGGAAAGAGAGGGATGGGGCGAAGCCTCAAGGTGTCATCTTGAAGGAGATTCTCTTTATCGAGTGGTGTAAGTGGCTGAGCAGGGCAAGTTCAGGGTCAAAGTGATTTCTTGGGGAGAAGCTATGTTATTGTGATACTGATACAAGGGTGAGCAGTTACTCTTTGCCCAATCAAACTGCAGAAACGTGTTCTCAGTGACAGGGCTAACTCACAGGGAAAAGTGTATTTGTCTGATGCTTCCCTTAAAGCAGAAGGGGGCTTTCTTCTAGTTTCCTTCCCATGTTGTGTTATGTAATAAAATCATTCATACATCCTGGTCTGGGTTGTCCGTGGCTTGAGTAAGGCAACCTACAATGATGGCTGATACCAAATTTAACGGAGTATACTGTGTCACGGAACAAAGAGATGGCCGGGAGAGAACAGCCCTTGTTTGAAAGGCCTCCTTCAATCCTGCAGGGCTGGGAAGATTCTCCCCGAGTCCCCAGAGTCACGGCAAAATTCCGTGCGCCTGGTCCACACACGAGGATCAAAGAGATCTCGTTTCTGATTTCCCCCACTAGGATTTCGGCGTGTTCAGTTCCCCTTCCCCGGCTCCGAGGATCTTGTTTCACAATGTTTCTGGAGGCTTCAAAACGAGCATTGTTCTGCAGGGACTGCCTTTAATGTTTTATAAGTTCAAGTCACACTTGTGGCTGTAGTGGTAAACACTGGCGTAATGAGTTAATATCCTCTGTGACTCCCTCTAGGGCATGTACATCAAATCAACGTATGACGGGTTGCACGTGATCACTGGGACCACAGAGAACGTAAGTGCCTGTCCGTGAAATGTAAAAGCGGTCGATGTTTAAACAAATTGGACACGGGGTCCCCATACCTTTCCTTTAAACGTGTGCATGCTGTTTTATTGTCTGTAGGGAGAGCACGGGCGCTCGTTTTGTTTATCCTGTTGCTGTCGCGCTGCTTGTCACCAGCTGTTGTCAATTTATTATTTAAATCGCCCTTTATTGCTCTTGTTCGTGCACCTTGCTCAGTTTTTACCCCCCACCCTTGCGTTAATTATTCCTTTTGTACCCTGGAAGAATCAATGCATAAATACAAAAACAAGGATCTGTTTGCTATTGAGAGCCACTCTTGTAAGAACTGGAATTGGTAAGCACATGTGTAAAATACGGTGTTGTTGTTTTTTTTTTTTTGTTCGATGGAATTTATGTGTCACCAAAGCAACTATTTTGGGATTTCTGTATGACTCTTTTTATAGAGTTGTATTTCATAACATTTGGCATGATGTTGAAATTTCGGGTTTTTGTCCCCTAAGCTTTTGAAGAGAAATAGCAAGACTGTTTCTCCTGTGAGAGACTTTGTGCACTATTATCCTTCGTTTGGAAATTCTACTACACAATTGGCATTTCTTTAGGCCCCGAAACATTTTGAACTTGTGAAAAGCAGAGCTCAGTGAAGGCTTTCTTTTTGCAGCCTACAATATGGCAAGCTTTTAAATGACATTGATAGGAAGCTTAAAGTGTTTGACTAGCTTCCAGCGTCTGTGTAAAAAAAAGCATGTGTCTGTGGAATTAATTTACTGTTTAATCAACTAAGACAAGAGGAAATGATTTCTTAAAATAGAAGAAATCAGGCACCTACTTTTCTAATCTGTGTGGCAGAAATGTGTGTTGAATTAAGGTCTTCTGATAAAATGGCATGACCTCTGATGAGGGTTTGTGACACAGACTTGGGTTTTGTAGTGAGAAAATAATGGCAATTGCTTAAGGCAGTCAATGAATTATAAATACATTGTGTGGTTCTGGCAGGTGAATGAGTAAAGGTCTCGAAGCATTCTTTGTTGAGCTACATGGAGAAGACACAGGGAACCACGAGGAGTTTTTATACCACCTCACCTCATAGGCAATGACAGCACAGGAAGTTCTTTTAGACTGAGGATGGTGAAAAAGAAAACAGTGAATAATGTATCACACAGTTCGCCCTTTATCCTTATCTGAGACTTCATGTATTTTAGCCGAACCATGACAAGAATACACTCGTGGACCATTCAGGCCATTGTTTTAGAGTTGGATGAATTCAGAAGGGTGGTGACTGTTAGTTAAGCTTTTAGAGTTGGTTTTGCACCTAGCAATTAGGTTGACCTCATTAACAACCAGACCTGTGTGGCTCCAAATTCTCTCTGGTCTTCTTGAAGCAATTTCAGTCTTGGATAAATGGAGAAATGTGTAGAACGCTGTAATGTGGCTACCGGAAGGCACACAGGTTGTTCATCTTCAAAGGGAGCCCCTTCCTTTTGTTTTAAGGGTGAGAGTTGAGTGAGAGACTAAATGAGCTGCTTTTCAGTCAAATGACATATCAAATATAATGATATGTTTTCCTAAAATTCCTACCTAGTCGTAAGAGTAGGCAAGTGATTCAGGGTTCGCCTGGATGTAGTTGACCCTAGCGAAGGACTGTACGTAAGTCATCCCAAAGAGAGGTGGTTTCCATCTGGTTAAAGATTAAGAAATGAACTCTTGTCTCCCTCTGGGAATCCATTTGAGAATGCCACCCGCTCTTTCAGACATTCGGCTGTGTTCACTGAGCACCCGGAATGTGCTGAGCACTTGCTAAGTCCTGTGATGAGGGTGGGGAGTCAGGTCAGAATCCACGTTTCATGGGCTTAATTTGGATATCTTCTACTTCATGCTGGTTGGAAACGCCAGCTCCAGGACAGCTTTCCAGCGTAACGTTGCTGTGACTTCAGAGTCAGAGCGTCTGAATGGAAACCCAGTGGGGTGGGTGGTAGTGGATGGAAATTACCCATTGCATTGCCACGCCAATGGTCTCCGTGTTCCTCTCTCTTGGACTCCAAGCTGAAGCAATGCCAGGGGCCATCTCAGTCCTCTAGGACTTTTTTTTTGTTCAGTTTTTGAGTTTATCTGGGCAGCCATGATCATTCCAAGGTCAGGCCGAACGGTATCTAGTGATTCTTTATCTAGCTTTTTTGTTTGTTTGTTTGATGTTCAACATCTTGACAGGAGTCTTGACAGGATCCCCTCCATGCTCCTGTTCCACCTCCCCCGACCCCACGAGCTGAAGCTGGAATTAGATTAGCTTCTGAAGAATGGATACATTCTTCTTCAGGTCAGCACCCTTCTGCTGCAAACCAGAGCGAGCATCGTTTTTCAGCAGCCCCGCTCATGGTGAAGATAGGCAAGGGCTGTTGGCCTAGGGAGAACTGCGGTATCAGGCTCTCTCTTTACTGGTGTTCTGCCAAGCACGACTCTTAATCACTCGGTAGGACATTTGAGAAATGAATGCGTGAGGATGCTCAGGAAGGGAAGTCAATCGAGGACACCGGGGCTTGTATTTTAAGGTTGCACATCTGTAAGCAGGGGCTTCCTGGCCTCGGGGCCATCTTTAATAAGGCAAAGCTTACCTTAAAAGAGTCCTCAGCCCAGGAAGATGAGCTGGGAAGGTTGGTCTCTTACTCTGGGTTAAGCATCTGACACACAGGGACAAACAAAGAGCTTTGATGCATTCATTTATTTTTATGTGCCTCGAGAGAGATTCCAGTTAGGCCGTTTGCCCCTGGTGGCCCACGACGCTGGTGTCTCAGGGGAGGCACTGCTGGTTGTTATGGCAGCGGGTTATTCTGAAAAAATAACAGCCACACCTGTGCTTCGTGTCGGACCGAGATAAACGAAAGGGAGTGTTTCCACAGTGTGATGCTGCTTTTGCTCGTGCCCTGTTGAGTCTGGCACAACAGCTGAGTGAGAAAAGTCAGCAAGTGTGTCTTCAGTTTAGTTGCTACCCCCCGAACCCTGCTCAAAGGTGCTATTTTTTTTTTTTAAGGATAGTTGTAAATTGTTTAAGATTCAGGCAGTTACATCAGTTACCAAATAAAACGTTCTGGCCTAGACAACATTTGATTATCATTTGAAAGCAAAGGTTTATCTTTTCCTTCTCTTGTGTTCATATAAGATATCTTAATCATAAACAGTTCTAGTTTGATTAAAGGGATAAGAATACTACGGCCAAAATATTTGATGAGTAGACTACATCAGAATGTCTATATATACACACATGTGAGTATATATTTGCAAATTTGTAGTAAAGTATTCTTTTGGAACGCAAAGTCTGGAAGTTTGTTTTGATGCTGGAAACATGTTTATTTTGAATTAAATCTGCAAATGAGAAAAATTTAAATTTAAATTAAAAAATTTAAATCTTTAAAAAAAATTTCTGTTTTCACCATCTTTCTACTTTAATACCACTGTGATAACCTGTAAAACAAGTCGGAGTGAAAATAAGATTCAGCTTTAATAACTACTTAAAGGGAAGTGGGATGACAGAGTTGCAGTTAAACAGCGGGTCAGCTTTTACAGGATTCGTTTTGATGAGGGTAAGAGTAGGTACTTTTTAGGGGAGCCAATGGTTTTTACCAGCTCCTCATGTCCACAGTGTGTCCCACTCTCCCCGACAGGTGACGCAAAGCCAGCTGTTGTGACTGACAGATTATCTGTTGTGACGGGCCGCTGATAAAACAGATACCACAGGTTTTGGTGTGCCAGGTTCTGCAGACAGTGCTGTCTCAGGGAGCTCACACACACTTTGTAATCTTTCTCGAGAAAACTGCATTTCCATTGCTCGTTGTCTGTAGAAGAAAGAGGGACGAAGAAACACAAGCAGAAAGAAATGCAAAGCTTAAAAAATGAGACCGGTCTCTCTGTTCGTTTCTCACAGTCTCCTGCAGACAGGTCCCAGAAGATCCACGCTGGCGATGAGGTCATCCAGGTCAACCGGCAAACCGTGGTGAGTTTCTCATTGACACTTAAGCCTCAGTTTCCCCTCTAGGACTTGCCCCTCAATCCAAAAGCCACTTTGCTAGAATTTTTAAAGTCGGAAGTTTACGTCCGATTTTCCCTAATTTTAAGTGGTCCTAAGATGAACATACTCGTATCTATCTCTCGGCTCACCGCTGAACCCCTTGAGATCCGTTCCTAGGTTTGATTTCTTCCCTTATTCATGAGCGGGTCCCCTCCCTCCACTTCCTCTCTTTGAAGGTGGGATGGCAGCTGAAAAATCTGGTGAGAAAACTGAGGGAGAACCCCACGGGAGTCGTGCTCCTGCTGAAGAAGCGCCCCACGGGGTCGTTCAACTTCACCCCCGCGCCTCTGAAGAACCTGCGGTGGAAGCCGCCTCTCGTGCAGGTACCCGGCTCTGTCTCCATGGCCTGTTGGAACCTCCGTCTGGTAGCAGGGCAGGACGGGCGCTCAAAAAAAAAAAAAAAAGCAAGGTTAAAATCGGAAGGAGACCGGTTTCAGGAGTCTGTATATGCAGAATTCTCCTATAATCCCACTTACACGAACATAGATGCTGCACTGAACAGGGTGGTGACCACTAGCCACATGGTCTATTGAAATAAGATCACAAGTTCAGTTCCTCAGTCTCACCAGCCACATTTCAGAAGGTTAGTAGCCACCTGGGGCTCCTCGTGGCTGCCATGGCTGCAGGAAGTTCACTCTCAGTGCTCCTCTCTCATTTCAAATGGGCGATGATGTGTATCCAGTTTGAACCCTGACCTGGGAGAGACCCTGTGGGGTTGAGTCAGGGGTAGGGACCATGGGAATAATCCGTGTGGTGGCGAGAAGTATCACTCCATTGTTCAGACATTGTTTAGAATCGCCTGTCTTGGCCGATCATCAAAAACAGACGGATGTTTAGCGAGTTTTGTTATTTAAATGCTCTACAAATAGTACACTCCTTTGTCGCCTACACCTTGGTGGACTGTGCCCGCCGGACCAGCCCCTTCGTTACACCATCGGTCCTCAGCATTCATTTCCTAAACCATGCATGAAAAGTAACAACATTTGAATGTCCTTTTATAAGGCTGGGATTGCAATTTATATGTAACTGTGGTTTTTTTACACATCTTCAAATGGAAGGAACAGTTGTGATCTCCAGCCATCCATTTGGATGCTTTAGGAGGCACCGAACACTGGGAGGTGGGATTAAATAATAGGGCGTGGAGGGTGGAGCAAGGTGGGGCTCGGAATTAAAATCCCTTCTTAAATAGTAGCTGTTCGTATTAATCACACCCCAGCTGGTTCTGTGTGCGTTGCTCCGTGCAAGGGGTAACATCTTTAAATTTGGGTGGCGGGGGGATTCTCAGAATGTATTACTTAATATCGCAGAAGTCTTACTTGATCATTAGTAGTTGATCGAGTGCCTGCCAGCTCCTTGGTGCACAGAACAAACGTTAGGCACCGAAGAAGGGGAGGCGGGGGTGGGCTGGGTAGGTGAAGGCACCGTGCCCTTGGAGGTGGGAGCCCTTTGGAGCCTGGAGTGCCAGGTGGGATTCGGTAGGTGAGACGCCCTGTCACAGAGGAGATGAACGCTGTTCTGTAGACACACACCTACAAACGCCAGCTGGGAAGGGTGGTGTCCTAGGCAAGGTTTCCTAGAAGCAGAACCTGTGACAGAGATTCTTGCAATACTGGTTTTTGAGGACGTGGCTTCAGGTAAAACTGGTAAGAGAGGAAGGGAGACAGTAAGGAGCAGGAAGCCAGCAAGGTGGTGTGTCAGGTATACAGTGGCCTGTTGTACAGGTGTAACCACGGAACGACAGGCTTCCGTAGCTGTGCTCAAGGGGAGGGGCTGTCGGCTGGGAGTCCTTCTCCAGAGAAGGGGAGAGCTGTGAGCTTTTAGCAATCAACTCATGTGCTGGGTTCGCTGGCTGGCAGAGGGGCCGTGGGTATTCAGGCACCATGGCCCCGCTGCAGGAGTGAGTACATGGGATATTCCCTCCGTTTCCCACCCCCGTCACCCCACCCAGCAGAGGGCAGGAGAGGCAGCTGGGCTGGTGAGCCGAGGCGGTACAGACTGCCAGGGTTCGGAGCATGGACTTCATCCCCAAGGTCGACAGTTGTTCTTTACATGAATGTGTACATTAGGCTTCTAGGGGTGCCCTAACAGAGCACCCCAGAGTGCGTGGCTGAAACAGAGTTCCTCCTCTCATAACTCAGAGGACTAGAAGTCTGAGCTCAAGGTGTTGTCAGGGTCGGTTTCTTCGGAGGCCTCTTTCCTTGGCATGTCGACGGGCCGCCTTCTCCCTGTGTCCTCACACAGTCTTTCTGCCACGAGTCTGTGTCGGCATCTCTCCTTATGGGGACACCAGTCATACTGGATTAGGCCCTAAGCTCATGAGCTCATTTAACTTCATTATGTCTCTAAGGCCCCGTCTGCAAATACAGGTCCATTCTGCGGTCCTGGGGGTTAGGCCTTCAACGCAGGGATTTTGAGGGGGACATAGTTCAGCCCGGGACATACTCTAACAGGAAGCACCAGGTGGTCGGTGCTGTGGTTCTGGGAATGGCTGGTGATTCCAGGGAAAGACTCATGTGCAAGCCTCTTCGGAAACAGACTCAGAAAGCAGCACGGCATAGTGGTTAGGAGAGGGGCTACGCGTGCAGTTCAACCCCTCGAGTTCAAATCCCAGCTCTGCCACTTACTAGCTATGGGAACTTAAGACAAAGTACTTACCTTTCTAAACCTCCCTCCTCACTCATTATTAGTGTGGACTGTTAGAAAAGTCCTCACTAATAACGCGGACTTTCCACTTTGGGCTGAGCGGTGAGGAAAGCCAGCATGGCAGGTGTGAAATGTGACAGTGACAGTGACCCTGGGTGGCGGTATCAGTGACAGAAATTAGCACGTGAGCAAAGAGCCATCTGGGAAGCAGAGATGATAGCTCATTCAGGCATCACAGAGTTTGAAGTACGAGGGGAACATTCAGGCGGATGTGTCCAGAAGCCAAGCGAAAATCATTTCTAAGTGTAGGTCTAGAGTTAGACCCTTAACCTCTGGACATTCGCATAGGAAGGGCGCACTTCCGTTTTCTCTGACTTTGTCTACCTTCGTGCCAAGTTCTGCTGAGGGTGGAGTTCGGGCGGAGAGGTGATGGTGAGGGGGATGAGACATTCAATTTTGTTTTTGACCCAGGGAGAGAGCTGCCCTCATATGCAGAGGCCTTTGTATAGCTTAGGCGCTGTGCGTGCTCTCAATACGGCAGGACATCTGCAGAACCTGCACCTCGCTCCCAGCCCCTCCCCTGAGTCACCGTGTGAGTGTCTTCCTTCAGGGGCCTCTGTGCCGGGGTGCCCACCTCTCCTGGGAGGGGGTTTCTGTAATTCCTGTCACCGTCATCATTGTGTTTCGGGTCACAGTCCCAGTTGGTGAGGGGTGCTGATTTGGAAGGCATCGTCAGCGTTGGCATTTTCAGAGTGCTTGGTCGGCGGAAATGCTCCGGTGTGCTTTTCTTTTACTTGTGGGGGACCTGGGTCCTGGCCCCGTGTGTTCAGACTTCGTCCAAGATGCACAGGCTGAGATGTTAATCCATCACACATTGAGTAGAGTGGACTGTTGACCTGTTCGTGGCCGGCATCCAGGAGGCGGTGCTTACGCTACGGGAGACAAGAGACCGAGCCCCTGTCTTTCAGAACCTCCCCTGAGAATGGGCCGTCACTCTGTGAGCACTGGCTGTTCCAGGCCTTTCCAGCCTTTGGACCTAGCTCACCATCTCATTATGGGGGCACTTGGGGATCTTCCATCACCATCCCGGCTAGGCAGGGTTTGGGGTGCCTTCTGCTGTGTGTCCAGGGCCCAGCGCGGTTCTCGAGTGGCCCCTCCACGGGCTTCCACGGACGTCTTCGCGCCCTGACTCTGAGGCTGTTCCTTGCTCTTGTTCCTTTACCGACCAGAAAGCGACTGCTGTTGTTGTTAGTCTATAGAAGAGACAAGATTGAAGGCCTCACACGAGATCTTCAAAAATAGGTCTTTTGACATCAGTAGCATGATTAAAATTAAGCTGTGTGGATTTTGTAGTTTTAAAATTAACTTATAGGCATGTGTATATATGTGTAATACTAAATCAAACAATGCGAGGTTGTACACGTCCTATGTGACAAGCAGAGTGCTAAGAGCCTTACATATATTATCTCACTTAATTCTCATTGCCACCCTGGCTGGTCCTGTTCTCATCCCCATTTGCCTCTATGCTGTAGAGGAGACACAGAGAAGTTCAGTGATTTACACAGCCGGTTCCCCCTTGCCCGCCGCTTCTTTTTCATGGCTTTAGTTACCTGTGGTTCCAGTTAACTGTGGTTAACCATTATTCAAGAACATTAAATGGAAAACTCCAGAAATAAACAATTTATCACTTTTAAGTTGCTTGCCCATCCGAGTAGAGTGATGAAATTTCTCACGACCCTGCTCTGTCCCACCTGGGACACGAATTATCCAGTGTCTCCACTGGAGAATTCGTCCAGTGTCCCCACATTGTACGTGCCACCTGCCCTTTAACACTTCATAACCACCCCAGTTTTAAGGTCGACTGTCAGGTATTTTGACAGAGAGAGGGAGAGAGAAGAGGAGAGAGAGAGAGAGAGGGAGGGGCACACCCCATTCACGGAACTTTTAGTACAGGATATGGATTAGGGGAGGGGGGGACGTGCCCCGAGGATGACCTCCGAGCTAACCTCCGCCCTCGTGCACTTGCTCCTGTTTCAGACTTCGCCTCCACCCACCACGACCCAGTCCCCCGAAAGCACCATGGATACCTCGCTGAAGAAGGAAAAGCCAGCCATCCTGGATCTTTACATTCCTCCCCCGCCAGCCGTGCCCTACTCCCCCCGGTATGTAGGTCCCCGTCCGTTTTTGTGGCATGCACGTCTCCTGTTCGCGGGGATTCGAAGCGGTGGGGTGAAGATCCCAGGGCTCTGGAGAGGAAAAGTTGCTCAGTCCCAGTGTGGTGGGGTCGAGTCCTAAAATCGTTGCTAAGGAGTGGGATCCTGGGGGTGGGGGGTGTGGGGGGGAAGATAATGAAGGTGGTCAAAGGCACAGACTTCCAGTTGTAAGATAAGTCAGTCCCGGGGAATGCAATGTGGGATGGTACCTACAGTTTATAGTTGGTGCAAGTTGCTGCGAGAGTGGATCTTGAAATTCCTCATCATAAGAAAACAAGACTTTGTGACTGTGTGAAGGATGGATGTTATTTAAACTTACTGTGGTGATTGTTTCTCTATCTATCTATCTAAAATCATTATTTGTACACCTTAACCTAATACAATGTTGTGACAATTGCATCTCAGTGAGACTGGGGGAAAAGAATCTGTGACCCTTCAGGGGGAGGTGCAGGGGCAGATCCGGGTTTCATGGGCCTTGTCGCTGTATAGCTTGGTGGGGGAGGGGCTCTTCACAGAAGCACGTGCTCTTGGCAGTGCGCTGTTGTGGCTCCTCCCTGGACGTGGGAAGGGGCTGTTGGGGGTCCCTGCAGCTTCAGCTTCATGCACACATGGTAAACTCACCTCTGGGGAGGAAGATGATAAATACTTCTGGGACATGCACTAAAGTTACAGCTTTATTTTGCTGAGAGAGACACGTTCTTTGTAGCACTTAAAAAAACGTGACTAGGGTAGATAATGCTGTATTTGCACACGTGTGTGTTTATGTGTGTGTCTATCATCAATTCTTAAAGGCCATTGCTTTATAGTGGCTTTCTTTAATGTTACGTGGTGTAATGAGGGTGGTCGCACTACATGTTATATAGGAGATGATTTAGGTGTGAAATACGGGCTCATTCATGTTAACTTACATATTTACCTATGTTGGTAAAACCAGAGAATCTGGCTCATTCGTTCGGTACGCATTGACTTGGTGTTAGGCCGGGGTTACCATACTACACGGAGCAGATACAGTTCTTGCCCCCAGAGAACTGCCAATGTCTTAGTCAGCTGTTCAAGAATAACTTGAGAAATATGTAATTATGCTGTGATGTTTCCTAAGACAAAGTTCAGGCTGAGCTTACAGTGGTGTTTTACTTTATATTGGAGTTTTCCATCTGTTTGTTTTGTTGTCAGCTGAACTACTTGCGTCTACTGGATTTATTCCTGGCACAAAGAAGAATTAACATCATTTTCCTCTTCTTTGAGTCTTGGTTCACTTGGAACTCCTTCCGGCATGTAGAGCAGTCACTTTAGGTGGTCAGGGGCATTCTGGTTGGTAGACAGGACCCCTCCTTGTAGTCACAGATGAGAGTCATGTGGCCATGGGGTCTTAAGTGTGTTTAAAGCAACAGGCTGTTGCCTTTGCACAAAACACGAGAGTGTGACTGATCGTCAGTGTGTGGGTCGTTCTATCAGAAACTGTAGGGAGGACAGCCCAGGACTCCCACCCCCCACAACCTGAATGTTCTCGTCTGCGTCTCAGGGCAGTGGTGAGAAAGAGAGAAATGTACGTAGTGAGCGAGAAGAGGAACTGGGGCCTTGAATCTACGTGGGTGGGGCACAAATGCATATGTGTGGACCCACACACCATTCATGAAGGGTAGTTTCCGAGGAGTGAAAAATGCAAATGGTTACGGAGAACCAATGGTGAGTCATGAAAGTTTGGTGAATGGGGAAGTTCTATGCCAGGTTTAAAAATGTGGAAAGAGATGGATTCGTGGGGGAAGGGGTGCGTAGGCAGCCACTTCCTGGGAACCACCACCACACAGGCTAAGCCGGTCTTCAGGTTGGTTGGGACTCAGTTGATACTGTATTCTGTCCGGTAGTTTTTACAGTAAAGCGTCTCGTGGGATTTACTAAATGCGGAAAACATAACCAGCTGGTCCCTTGGACACAACTAACATTGATTTGAACTTTTATCGTCAGCTGACATTTAGGAGGAGTTAAGTTGCAATCGAAGATCCAAGTTCTGCCAGTCTCTGCACCTAGTTCAGAAAATAGGCACACTCTCCTTTGAGGACTACAAAGGCCCTTTGTGGTTTTTGACATAATGTTCAAATCTGACAGCTCCGTTACACATCAAGTGTCTTTTCCCCCCCTGGATCTTGGCAAAGACACTACTCTGGGCATGAGAAAAAGGGTTCAGCGGGTCACACCTTGCCTTGAGATTCTGGCAGGACAGAGGCGGTTCCCTGGCAGGGCAGAGACGTGGGAAACCGGAGCCATCTTTCTGAAAGGCATATTTGTATCATTCGAACACACTTGAAAGACACCTATTTCCCGTTGTTTAGTAGGGTCACGGCATTTACCTGTACTTAATAGGATCTCTGTGTATTTGAGGAACAACTAAGCCTGAAAAAGTAACCCTTTTCCCTCCAGTGGAAAAGGCGATTTCCATTCTATGTACGTCTCCTGTGACTCTTCCGTGCGGGAGGGACTGGGTCAGCACCTTCCTCATCGCCCGCTGTCTTCCAGGGACGAGAATGGGAGCTTCGCTTTCGGAGGAGTCAGCAAGTGCAAACAGGCGGTGCCTGCTCCCAAGGGTTCCGAGTCCCCAAACTCCTTCCTGGACCAGGAGAGCAGGAGACGGAGATTCACCATAGCTGACTCGGACCAGTTGCCTGGGTATTCGGTGGAAACCAACGTTCTGCCCACAAAAATGAGACAGAAGACGCCATCGTACGGTACGCGTCTGAGTATTTGTTTTGCTCTGCCGTTCGCCGTTCTCGTCTTCCCCACCCCCTTCCTTATTTGGAACTGTTGGATGAATTTGGCAGACCCTAAGGGTAATCTGAGGAAAACATAAACCTCAATGAAATTCTAAGTATGAGACCTTTATTCATCTCTCCAAAGCGGAGCCTTGTTGAGTCATTGCTCTGCCTGGCATCAAAGCCCAGCGGGTGAGATCATGTTCCAGTTTTAACTTCCAGAGCCTGGCTTGTATTTAACTCTGGGGCTGCTGCGCTCCGTGCACCCACAGACTCCAGTGCAGCACGCCCCTGTCCTGATGGTGCGCTGCGGAACCCCGGCGCTTTAAAAGGCTTTCCTCATTTTAAAATATGGTATTGCTTCTGCTTAAGTTGAGTGTGGCATGGTGGGGGGTGGCGGTCTACGTTACAAATTCAGGGAAAGATTCTCTGAGCCAGAAAGTCACCCACTGTCGTTTTCCTTCCTTTTCCCCCCGAAGGCAAGCCCCGACCTCTGTCCATGCCTGCGGACGGGAGCTGGATGGGGATCGTGGACCCTTTTGCCAGACCTCGAGGCCATGGGAAGAAAGGCAAGTGTTTAAGCAAATCATATGCAACAGGGAATGGAAAGACCCAGCCTCTAGTTTCAGCCCTATTTCTAAATGTATTGTTCTAACTGGAGAGAGGGCTTGCCCTGTCTGAGCCACCTCTTCTCATCTCTACCTTCAGGATGGCTGAAGATCTCTCAAACCCGACTTGTTTCTAGAACGGCAGAATTACGCAATGCTGTTAGTGATGGTAAATCTCCTGATTAGCAGTGTGTGTGCTTCGAAAAGGCCGTAGGCATTAATGGTCCAGATTCTAAGCAAGGAGAAATAAATTATTCATTATGTAATCGCATCCTAAATTTTATGGCTGTTATGATTGGAGTCTGTTTGATTTTTTCATGAACAGGCATGGATGTTTCCCCCTCCCAGATCCTCCTTGCGTTAGAGAGTGGTTACTGTGGGGAAAGAAATCTGTGTTTCGTTAACCCTGTAATCACTCTCTAGCTATTACACCAGTCTCGAGGGGAATGTTCATACATATCCCTGTTTTTTGCCAGTTTACAATGTTGATGGTATCAACATCGGCAGGACATTATAACTGCCTTTGCAGTGCTGAAACAAAGCAGGTGACGAGTTACAGCCCAGCAGGCTGTAGATAGTGAAAGGAAGAAGAAAACGTTCTGGAAGCCCAGCTTTCATAAGTGATCAGTCTCTGACATCTCCTCGGGTCTTGGTCAAGTTTGTCACCCAAGTACCTGAGTCACCTGTATTATGCTAATATGGGAGAAGAAAAAGACACCCGTGCAAAGCCCGGAACACCTCTAGCCAACACCTCTGTGGAGCTGTCAGCAGGTGGCAGGCTGTCCTTTGTTTAGTTTTAGAAATGCCAGCATCTTTGTTGCTGTTCTCTTAGCCTTTTAAGTTTGGATTTAGCCTTTTATTTCCTTTACACACTGAGAGATGGGGCTGGGGGCCGGGCGGGGGGAGTGTGAAATCAGTAACTGGAAACATCCTCGACCCCTTGTCCCACCTTCCACATGTTTTTCTTGTATGCTCATTTTAGAACGAAAAATGTCTGCCCAGGGCTCACCTTAAAAAGAGGAACACAGCTTTATCGAGATGTAACTCCCATATACCGTGAAGCCCACTCTGTTGAAGTGTGTACTTGAGTGGTTTTTAGTATATCCACAGAGCTGTGTGTTCATCACGATGCTCTGATTCCAGGACATTTAGTCACCTTGAAAGGAAACCCTGGGCCCATAAACAGTCACTTCTCATTTGTTCCTCCCTCTGTCCCCTGCAACCCTACTTTCTGTCTTTGTGGATTTGCTCGTTCTGGACGTTTCCTATCAATTAACTCATACAATATGGGGCTTTTTGACAATGGGCACTTTTTAAAAGTAGCTTTCCCACTTTGATGACAAAAGCAAAACAAGTACACAGAAAAACATCTAGAAGGTACAAGAAAATAAAACCCAGCTGTGATCTGCTTCCCCCAACCAGAAATAATCACTATGAATGTTTTGTTTATCTTCCAGTTATTTTCATAAATACAATTATACATTTAGAAAAAATATGCAGAATGGAAGAAATAGATGTTCAGTAATACTATGCAAGCTGGATATTATCTAGAACATGTTTTTAATAGCTGCATTAGTAATCCATCTTGTGGCTGTAATACCTATTTATTCAGTCATTGTTGGACATTTAGGTTATTCCTGTTTTTATCTCTATACCCCCATTATAAATAATGCTTCAATAAGCACCCTTGTACATAGATCTTTGCACGCTTTTAGAAGTAGAATTTTTTTGGTCGAAAGAAAGCCAAAGTGCCCTGCATTGTAGATTTCTGTTCAGTTTCATAAATGGCCCCCACCAACCCCAGGGGCGTCTGCCGGCATCTTGGGTGGGGTCAGCCTGTCTTGTTTGGAAATGTCCTGAGCATCACAGAGCATTAAAAAGTTTGGACCTTTTCCATTAAGGGTGACTAGTGCCTGTCCCTCACTCAGGGTGACAGCCAAAGGAACCCCCACCTTTCTGAATGCTCCTCAGGGATCCCCCGGGATAAGAAGCATGTTCTAGAAGCACATGCTGTGTGCTGCAGGCATTGTGGAAGGACAGATGGGGAAGGAGGGATGGACGAGGCCGTGTCGCCCATCCCTGGGGGGAGGGCACAGTGTGGGACCACCACGGGCTTCAGGCCCCCTTAACAGCGTTACGCGGTGGACGGTGATTTCAATGGGCCTGTGGTCTTTGTCTGGAAACAGGTGAGGAGGCCCTGTGCCGCTACTTCAGTAATGAACGGATCCCTCCGATCATCGAGGAGAGTGCCTCGCCCGCCTACCGCTTCTCCAGGCCCACCATGGAGAGGCAGCTGGTCCGAGCAGACTACATCCGAGGCAGCCGGTGCTACCTCAGCTCAGATCTCCACAGCAGCGCCACGATGCCATTCCAGGAGGAAGGGACCAAAAAGAAATCCGGCTCCTCGGGGGCCAAGTCCTCGTCCACGGAGCCGTCCCTGCTGGTCAGCTGGTTTACGCGCCTGAAACTGTTGACTCACTGAGCCCTGCCCTCCCCGGACGCCCCACCGCCCCTGCTCCCAAGTGCCTTGCTCCCTCCGTGGACGACCTGTTCTGATGCTCATGCACAGTATTATGTAGACACCTTTTGCAAATTCATTTTATTTCATATTTGGAAAATTGTACGTCACCCTTCTTGGGAATGTTGAAGGAAGTGGGTGGGAACAAATCCAGAGGGTCTTAGGTGCTGGTCTGTGGAGGCAGAAGGAAGAGGTGGGTAGGGTGGGCTTTTCTTGCTTCCGCAGAATCAGAACGTGGAGACACGCTCTCTCTACAAACCAGGCCTCTGCCAGCAATGGTAGGGTCCCTAGGCAGAACTGGGGCACTGTCCGCTGTTGGGGGGGCGGGAGAAAATTGGTGGCCGTTGTCGCACGGATGTGTTGGTGTGTGGCCCAGCTTGCCCACCTGAAAAAGCCAGTGGAGAAAACATTTCCCTGGTGATTCCTCAAGCCACACACCACATGTGTCAGCGTAGCAGCGGCTTTGACTTTGAAATAACGCGTTTCGGAAGCGCCTGCCGCTCTTTCAGAGCAGAGGTGTAAGCGTAGACCTGTTACGCTTGGTTCACCCCTTTCCGTAACAGTCTCCGTGCAGGTCGATCGGTGCAGAAACGCACTGAGACAGGCCTGATCGCGCACACAGACGTGTGGGGTTCTGCGGGGTGGCAGTGTCACACGTTGTGTCTCTGAGGGAGAAGCAGCGACGGGATTTGCTGACAGCCAAAGCATCGTCCAGGAAAATGAAGCCACGGGACTTAAGTTTGTGAAAGACACATCAGTTTGCATTTGGACCTGTTCGGTGTCTCTCTCTTCCAGAAAAGAACGGACGGTTCTTCAATATTACACATTTTGCTAATTAGAAACATCTTGGAAAGTCTCACGGTCGCAGATTTTCAAGTAGCATCAGGTATTTTTGGAAAAGTGTGTCTGGATATTAACTCCTGTTTAAACTGAATGTATGATATTTTGTTAGAATGGAAAAGTACTATCTTGTTAATTTAAGTGTTTTAAATATAGTTGTATATTTTTCTTACTCTGAGTCACATGTCACGGAGCTGTTTCTGTGTTGCGCCGTACACAAAGCTCACGAAAAAGAGTGTTTGGGGTGTTTTCAGATTTGCAAGTGACTGACCGCCCTGGCTGTTGCCACCAGGAGCACTACCGTTGAAAAACAAAATAAACCCTCCCAAGAATCTGGGATTTGATCGATGAGAAATGGGAGCGTTGAGGAAGCATGTGTGAAGTAGCATTACACTTGGGGGATTTTCTGAGGTGTCTTTCTAGGCAGAGCTGGAATCCCCGACTCAAAAATACCTGCACCCCCGTCCCCCTGAAATATTTATTTTGCTTAACTTCCTGAAATTCAGTGAATTAGAGATTCCCTGGAGTAAGTAAACACCTTCTTTTTCAAATGGTTCTGGTGAGCTGGAGCAAACGAACAACCCTCACGGACTAGTGGGACTGCATTCGGCCAGGCCTGGCCTGTCACCCTCGAAGGGAACTGCAGTTGACAATACGGGTGTTTCATGGGGGAGGAAAGGAGTTTGCCAAACCGAGGGTAGAAGAGGCGGGGCTGTGTGATTGGTTGGGAGTTTAACAACACAGAGTCAGGGCCAAGTGTGGGGGCGGGAGGCCTGGTAACTGGGCCCCAGTGACTAGGAGGGAGCCGTGGGAAGGGAGGAGCCGCGGCCCTTGCCCCTTTTACTGTTAGCAAGCGCTGGCTTCACGCCCAGAAAGTGCGGTGGTGGCACTTCCTCTCGCTCACTCCCTGGACAACAGGGGGACGGGCTGTCCGCGCTGTAGTCTGGCTCAGTCAGGAGCAAAATAGCTTTGGAGGTCTTAGCTGGAGATTAGCTCCCTTTTGTGGAGTAAAGGCCACTTGCAATCAGTTGACCGTTCTCAAGTGAATTTGCAGAAGTCGGTCTTCACCCGAGGCAGTGCCCAACTGAAATTACTGTACCAAATGTTTTCCAGACGGATCCCGAAGTCCCAGAGGAAGGCCAGAGAACTTTCTGGGGTTTCCACCTTCTTTGGTCAGCCTCCACGGATTCACTTTTATTTCTATTTGGCCTTTTCTCCTGAATTGTGTTTAAGAAATAGATGACTGCCAAAGAAAAAGTTTGTATAGGTCTTCACTGTCAAGATATATAAATGAGAGTTTAATACTAATTCCTTAGAAACTAGCAGAGACTGCCTACCTCAGTAGTAACCCAGGGTGAGTGGTGGACAGGTGCTAACATATGAAGATGCACGACACTTTTTGACCTGATACTTTAAAATGGTGATCTCTAAAAATTCAACACACACCCCCTTTTTATAATAAATATTCCATAACATCACTACAATCATTACGTGAAAAGGATGATAAAACCTACCTTCGCATGTAAAAGCGTCACAATTCCAAAATGCAATCAGCAGGCAATATAACTGGGCTCCATAGCCATGCATCGATTTAACACCCTAACCGAAATGTAAGCAAATATCAATATATAAATATTTTGTAAGGAAATAATTATTTTAATGTGTAAATGCCCAAGCACGATTATATTACAAGATGTCATAAAATAATGAAACGAGGCACATACTTGTATCTCTCTATAAAATCACCAGGAACGTGACAACTACACATGCAGACCAATACAGGCCTTCTGGTGGCCACTCAGATTGATGCCAGCAATAGGATTTTCTAAAATGTGGCCGATTCTCAATAAAGCTTCTGTAGACAAAACAGAAGTCTACAACAGCGAGACACACAGAGTGCTTTCTCGGTGCCTGTGCTAAACCCTTATAGCCTGGTCAAGTGGGTGCCACTGGCATTCCCGTCGTATGTGCCCGGGGTGATCCAAGGACGTGCAGCTGATACGAGCTAAGCTGGATTTGAAGTGGAAGCAATCTAGTTCTGGTCCTTGCTCGTATCCGCCTTGCTTCAGGCTTCCCTCAGTGTGTAGAATACTCTGATTGCTTTCCTGAAAAATCCAACACATGTTAAAACTGGGTGAAGAATTCCCTGCGTGTTTATAGACGGAATAAGGTTATAGCCTCAAGTGATTCAAAAGTGGGTTCCCATCCATGTGACTATTGGGTGGGCCACTTGAAACTGTGCTGATGGGGGCAGTTCTTTGTCGTGGGGGGTCTAACCCTCAGGGCTTGTGCAGCACCCATGTTCCGGTGGTTATGCAGCTTGTGGTCCCATCGTTAGCACCTTAAGGGCCCTCATATTTCCAAAACTGTCTCTAGGGAGCCCTACCATCCATTGAGAACAAGTAATTTAAAACATCCTGTATCATCAAGTTGTGTTTTCATCTTCATGTTACGTGTTTGTCATTTTTCTATCTTTGATTCTCCTTAGTTCCCTCCTCACTGAAAGTTTTAGAGTCAGTTCTGTGGGGGCTGTCTTTGTTACTATGTTTGCTAGCCCCCTTCCCCAGTCAAGCAAGCATTGGCTGTTGCCTCCTCTGGCCCAAAGACCATGTGTGTCCCCCAGTGTCAACTTGTTCTTCCTCAGAGAAAACTAGGAGCTATTTACACCTTTTATTTCCTAAAGAGCTTGAGTAAGTAAATCTCTTTATTTCACATGTGAACAGAACAGTGCCAGCAAAGAATGACCCTGAAGTTGCTGTTTTGCCACTATGGCCTCAGCGGGATGGCCCTGCAGGCCTGATGTGGCTGTTCCCAGCCAGTGTGTCTGCGATCGACCTGAGCCCACAGGTCATTCACTTTTTGCTCCCGCTTTCATGGCCAGCCCCTGCGTCATTTCCTCTGGGAGGGGACAGACCACGGCACGCTACTTCCTTGCAGCTCATCTGGAATGCGGGCTTCTGGTGTAGCCACGTTTTGGCTTGGCCAATGAATTTGATTTTATTCATTTTTGGAGTCATTCTGCTTGTGTAATTTCTTATAGGTTTATGTCAATCGCCTGGGAATTGACTATTTAAAACTTTGTTGATTAAAAGCTGGCTGAAGGGGTACTCAAAAGCTGAGGTTTCTTCGACTACGTGGAAGGCTTTGCCTGGTGAATCAAGCCTGGTAGGACCATAGTACGTGTTTGGTGATGCCCCAGGGGACTCACACACAGATTTTCTTTCTTTTCTTTTTTTAATATTTTATTTATTTATTTTTAGACAGAGGGGAAGGGAGGGAGAAAGAGAGGGAGAGAAACATCAATGTGTGGTTGCCTCTCACATGGCCCCCACTGGGGACCTGGCCCGCAACCCAGGCATGTGCCCTGACTGGGAATCGAACCGGTAACTCTTTGGTTCGCAGCCCACATTCAATCCACTGAGCTACACCAGCCAGTGCACACACAGATTTTCTAACCTGTAGGATATGGGGTTAGAAAAAAAATATTCATCTTATTATAAAATTCACCTTACCATTTTCTGGAAATTTCTCAACTGTCAGGTTTTGTCTTCAGGGTTTTATTTATTTTTGGGCCAGAATTATTGCTGTAAGTAAAATGGTTTCACAATTTCTAAGAAAAGCGAGGCTCAGCATAAGTAAAGGAAAAAGAGACGACATGACATTCAGATTGGCCGTAGGGCCATGTTTTCTCTGGTGTTAGGGATGTGAGGTCTGCCTCACACCACGGTGGTGTTTCTATGTATTGTGTGCTGAAGAGAATTTTTTCTTACTACCAAATGCCTTCTGCAACAATGGCCTATGGCTTACTAATTTGGAAAGAGGAAAGAGAAGATTTTGTCTATAATCAAAATAACATCCCTCAGCCAGGAGGGTGTCCTACCGTCTTCCAGAACCTTTGAGGCACCTGCTCTGTTCCCCTTACCTAGCAATGCCCCTGGAGCCGGGTCGTTAGGAACTAGACCTGATTGCAACCTGATTGCAACCTGATCACCCCCGGGCATGTTCTGAAATTTGATGGCCGTGTTTAAGAACCTCATCCTCTGAGTTGATCAGCTGTTTAGGTGTGCTGCCCACGTGCAGTGGGTGTCGGGGGTTAAAATCTGTGAGTATATAAACGAAGGAGGTGGGCTTTAACCCTACATTCTCTTCCGGGGGCCCAGCGACCACTCCGGAGTCACCGTGTCAAGGGGGACAGTTCACCACCCAAGGGCCCACCCAGGTCAGGCTCCCAGCCAAATAGCACACCCACTTTCCTTCCCTGGACTTCTCGTTTCCCTCAGGAGTTGTGATGCTGACACTGCAGGGGCGACTGAAGATACAAACCTCAAAGTCACTTTAAGAAGAAGGGATACGGCCTTCCTGAAATCCTGGTAGCTAAGGTGGTGAATAGTCTCATCATTTTCTCTTCCCTGTCCTGGAGCAAATGTTTCTGAAGAAATGACTAAAAGGAGAGAAAGCATTGGGGAAAAAGTTATTTCCCCTTGTTTTCCGGCTGACCAGACCCATGAAAAGGAACTTAGAATGCAACTTTATTTTTAAGGTGACAGAGACTGGATTTTACAATATTCCTGCATCATTTTGACAGATCTTGGTCTGAACATTTCAATTTATCTTAAACATGAAAGAGCGTTGAAAATGAAGTTTAATTAATATAAGGTCATATTGTCTTTGAAGTAAGAAGCTGTCCTTTTCTCTTTTAAAAAATATTTATTTATTTTTAGAGAGGGGAAGGGAGGGAGAAAGAGAGGGAGAGAAACATTAATGTGTGGTTCCCTCTTCCTCTCTCCCAACCGAGGACCTGGCCCACCACCCAGGCATGAGCCCTGACTGGGAATCAAACCAGCAACCTTTTGGATCACAGGCAGGCAGTCAGTCCACTGAGCTACACCAGCCAGAGTGAGAAGCTGTCATTTAATTTTTGTGGGGGCTGGGTTCTATTTTAATATACATACATACATATATATAATTTATATTTATTTATATATAAATAAAATAAGACATATATGTGTCATTTCAGTTGAGGCTGTGTCAGGAGAAGAGTGGGTGGATTTCAGGAATTAACACTAACGTGGAAGTCTTGGACTTCTGGAAATTGGCTTTGAGTAGTTAGAAGCATTTGGGGGCTCAGCCTTTGAAGTCGGATAATCCAGCTGTCCCAGTTTACCACTTACAAGGTCT